CAAGTCTTTTGGACCGGCGTGCTCCATGAGGGCGGCAACCGGTTCAACATGGCCAGCCCTCAGCAGCGCGCCAAGAGCGCGTCCCCGAGCAACACCAAGCGCCGGATAGTCCCCGTTACCCTCAACATTTCCGCAGACGGATACAAGCCGCCGGCGCCGGCGTCGCGTCGCCGCCACCGTCGGCGAAGGGCAAGGAACGCGAGTCGTCTTCGGCCAACGGCATACCTAAGGGGACGCCGAAAGTCAAGCCCTTAGCTAACGGGCACGCGACGCCGAAGGGAACGCCGAACGGTACATCTAACGGGCGACCGAAACTTGCGAACGGCACGCCGAACGGCAACGGCTCGTCGAAGAAGGCGCTGGTTAACGGCCATGCGTCTACGCCGAAGAGTCTGCCCAACGGTACGCCGAATGGAGCGTCAAAGGGAACGCCGAACGGCACCCCGGCCAGTGGCAAGAAGGACAAGGCGAAGGGCAGCGCTAAGAACGCTGCCGATGCGCTCGACCTGACCTGGCCGCAGGAGCTGAAGTCGCGCTCAGCTGCCGGACTGGCCAACGGCTCCATGTCGTGCTACGCGAACGCAACGCTGCAGGTCATCATGCACACCCCGCCGGTGCTGAGGGTGGCGTTGGCGCATGACCGAGAGGACTGTGAGTGCCCGCGCGAACTGCAGGGTTCCGCCCTGCGACTGATAAGGACTGGGGGCCGTGGCTATCTGCGCGTATCTGGTCGCGTCTCGCGGGAGGCGAGAAGGGGCGGAGGGATGTTGTCTGTGACCAACCCGAGGGTGGCCCGGACGCACAGACGCGGCCATCAGACCATCACGTCAACAAACATCACGAGAGGACACAGACGAGCAGTGCTGGGAATCTGAGCTGACCGGAAGGCTTGCTGCATGGACGTAACAAGTTCTGCATGCTGTGCGCACTGCGCTCGATGGCGACGGGCGAGCACTTCTCCGGCAGGCGCGCATACCGTCCCACAGCGGTCCACAATCATCTTGGACGTGAGTTTAAATCATCAGAGCGCGAACTGACCGGAACAGAGATAAAGAAAGGCTTCAGCAAGCACAGGCAGGAGGACACGCACGAGTTCTTCCGATTCGTGACGGATGCGCTGCAGAACTCGGCTTTGGCGGGCAAGCCGAAGGATCTGCCGGAGAAGATCAAGCACTCGACGTGGGTGTACAAGATCTGGGGCGGCAAGGTGCGGTCTCGCGTTCTTTGCTTGTCGTGCCGGAAGCCGAGCGACACGTTTGACACGATCCTCGACCTGTCGCTTGACATTGCGACGCGGTCGAAGAATGCGACGCTCAGCGTCGAGCAGCTCCTTGACAACTACATCAAGGAGGACCGGCTGGATGGGGACAACAAGTACAACTGCGAGAGCTGCAAGCGCAAGTCGGCGGCGACCAAGTCGATGCGGATTGCCCAGGCGCCGCCCGTGTTAACCTTCCACCTGAAGCGGTTTGGCTTCTCGCTCACGAGCTGGAGCACGAAGGCTACAAAGGTTAACAACCTGATCGACTACAAGCCCACCATCGACATCAGCAAGTACATGACTGAGCCGGGGACTGGGGCCAAGTACAAGCTGTTCGCGGTTACGTGTCACCACGGCAGCACGCTGCACTACGGTCACTACACGAGCTTTGTCAAGGGCAGCGATGGGAGCTGGTACGAGTGTGACGACGAGTCGGTCCGTCAGGTCCGCCCCAGCGACGTCCTCCAGGACCGCGCGGCGTACCTCCTGTCCTACATCCGGGTTGACGGTGACCAGCCGCCGTCAGCGCCTGCCACGCCCGTCGCCCCCGCCGTCTCGAACAAGCGTCAGCGCGAGGAAGACAGCCCGTCGCCGAACAAGCGTCCGAACGGTGTCCCGAACGGAGTGAAGAAGGAGGGATCGAAGAAGGCGGAGACGCCGGCCCTTTCAAAGCTGAACCAGCAGTACGCCTCTTCCTCCCCTTCGTCTTCCTCGTCATCGTCATCATCCTCAGACGACGAGGGCGACAAGGTCATGAAACCCGCGAAGTCCGCGAAGCCCGCCAAGGCTGCGCCATTACCCACGCCGCCGGAGACCTCCCCTCCTGCCCCCTCCTCGAGTGCTGCCAGGCCGAGCACGCCGCCTCCTTCAGCCAAGAAGCTCGCAGGTCTGCTCAGCCCTCGCTCGCCGAAATCCCCCAAGTCGCCGAAGAAGCGTGCCCCGCACTCGCCCAAGAAGAGCAAGCACCACCGTCCCAACCACCGCAGCCAGATCATGGGCAAGGGCCATGGCGGACACGGCGCACCCATGCCCTTCAAGCAGGGCAGCTACGGCAAGAGCAACCTGCGTAACAAGCGGAAGAACAAGATTGGGCGGATGAAGGGGAGGAACGAGAGCTAGGCAAGCACGAGGCCGTAGGCCGAGTGCCGCCGAGTGCCACCTGGCGCCGTGCCCAGAGCTGAGCTCGGCACGCAGTCTTGATGAGGAGAAGACCACAACAAACACATTGCATTTCCCATTTCCCTTGTTTCCACACAGACAGGAACCCCAAAGACATAGACTCAGCCTCTTTTGCATTTTTCCATGTATTTGACTGTACGCTTAAAAATGAGCGGGACTGCGTCTGGAGAGTCCTGCAAGACATGGGGTTACATCGGTCGAACTTCTGTCACTATCACTGTTTCTACGTTTATTGGTATAAAGGTCGCCTAGAGCTTCGCGGCGACCGGCTTGGGGTCGCGGCTAGGGTGCTTGCTCACGACGACTTCGTAGTCGACCTTTGCCGAGTTTGCCTCGTCGCCGAGCTCGCTTCTCCAGATAATCTCGACCTCGGAGGGACCCCGCTTGGTGGGCTTGACGAGCACGACGCGGCTGTGGTCTCCAGCTCTCGTGGGATCCTGTGTCTTGACCTCCTTGCCCGGTCCCTCCAAGCTCAGAACATTCCGTCCATCCGCTCTCTTGATGCCGAGACCAACGGGCGAAATGACCTTCTCGCCCCACGGGATAGAGGCGGTCGGATGTCCGCCGGGTCCTGTCGGCGTCTTCTTCAGGAAGGTGAGCAGCGCCTCACGCTGCGCGGCATAGTCTCCCGGTCCTGTCAGGAACTGACCAAGGAGAGTGAGCAGGTAGAGCTGGGGCGGGAAGAGAATGATCTCGCCCCGGGCTTGGCGCGCAAGCCAGTCCGAGACGTCGTCGAAGGCTGCGGCCGTGTGCTCGATCCCCCCGTCGTGCGTAGGGGTGTGCACTACCGTGGATGCGTCGCGCTCCGCCGCGATTGAGGAGCCCAGAGGGAGCATGTACACGTACATCTGGGTCGTGAAGCGTTTCGGCACGTTGGGGGGCGTCACCCAGCGCGTGAACGGGATGAGGCCGTCTTGTCGTTAGCTCCAGCGCTCAACTCCCCGGCAGCGATCGGCACTCCGAGGGGCCATCTGCGATCCGCTCAAGCTCTTGGAGGTCTCGACCAGAAACCTCGGCCTCCGCGTACTCACCTACATCGGGCGTGCCGCCGACACTCTCCACCCAGTCCCCGAACCTGACCGTGTTGCCGTGGATCTTCTTCCGCGCCTCCTCGACCTCGCCCGGGCTGAGCTCGACCAGATCCCCGTTCCCGTTCCCGCCCTTCTTCTTCGCCAGCAGGATGCCGGCCTCCTCAAACGTCTCTCTGATGGCTCCGAGGCGGTAGGCCTCGCTGTCGCGGTGCCGGTCCTGCGCGTCCTCGGCCGGCACGGCTTCGTGGAACTTGCTCAGGTTGCCGCCGGGGAAGACGTGGGCTGATGGGAAAGAGGTCGAGGTCTGGACACGGTGAAGGAGGAGGAGCTGGTTCGTCGGCGAGAGCACCATGATCCTTGGTGTTAGCGCTGGTCAGGCCGCATCTGAGGCCAGGGGAAGCAAGTCCGGAGATCCGGAGTGCGGGGTTGATACATACGAGCTGCTCGGCTTGGGCACCATCGGCACTTTCTTGGCCGCCGCGGCGGGGGGAGCTGTCGAATTCGGGCGCGACATGGCAATGATCACTGGCGGAGGGCGGGAGCGGCGCACAGCGGCAAAGAGGGAGAGCATGATATAAAAGGGCCACGAAAGCCCCGCTCAGCGTTGTTATAGACAAGGTGGGCCTCGCGCTAACCGGACAAGCACAAGTCTTTTGGACCGGCGTGCTCCAGCAGAGGAATGGCAGAGATTGCTCGGCATCCACGACGGCGAAGGCCGAACTCGGCTATTGCCGACCGGCCCTTCCCTCTGGAGCACCACTACTCCACAACTGGGTTCTCCAAGTCGACACGGAGAACCCTTGTAGACTCTCACCTGCCTACGCTGCTGCACGGACAAGTCCGCCGATACCATGCCCACGGCCGTAATCATAGATATGCGCATGTGACCTTGCGGACTTGCACGCGACACCGATCGTCGGAATCAGGGCTCGGCATTCTCCCTCGACCACCATCGCCCACCTGGAAGGCCACGCCCAACTTGCTGAGCTCCGTCGCGTACATTCGCATACATTCGTATAGTACAACAGGTATGAATGTGCTGATGCGTGTAGTCTATTCTATGATGTTAGAAGCGAAGTGGCGACGGGCCGGCCGGTGCAGTGCTTGTACCCGCCGCCGCCGCACCATTCGTAATGGTCGACGCGCTAGATACTGTGCTGGTAGCGCTGCCGGCAGAGGACGCGAGATGGTTCCTCTCGTTTGCAAGGGGGGTGCGCTCGTCGTCCTCGACGACGCCGACGTGCAGCAAATCATCGAGTCCGCGCTCTACAACGTCGAGCCACGCGCGCAGGTCGTCTACCGTGCTCTCCAGCTCGGAGAGGGCGTCGCCGGCCCCTTCCGCGCGTGTCAGGTCTAACGGGCGCAGGTTTGTCGGCGGTGCGGGCAGACCAGGCGTCATCGGCATCGGCGCATGCGAGAACGTGGCAGGTAAACTGACCGTGCTCGCGTTAACGGGGGGAGCGCCGCAGGGCGGGTCGGGGCGAGTGTCGCGCTCGTTGCTGCTCGGCAGAGCGAGCGGAGAAGACAGCGGCACGAACGCCTTCGGTGCCGTGTGGCTGCTCGGACTCGGGGGAAGAAGGTCGCTGTTGTCTGGCACGGCCGGCGAGAGCTTGAGCAGATCGCGCAAGCCCTTAGTGCCTACACCCTCGTCGGCGCGGGAGCTCGAGCGCGAGCGCATCATGCCCATGCCGCCTCCACCGGGGCGGGGCACCGCGAGAGCCTTCGTAGGACTCTGCGGCAGGTCGCTGGCGGTCATGGCGAGTTGTTGGGCGGCGGCATGGGCTTGGCTCGCACCTCGTCCTTCGAGGATCGAGTGCGAAGCTTGACGCATCATCGGTGGGCGAGCGAAGGGAGGCGTCGGCGGCGGTCCCAGAGGGCTGAGCTCTTCTTCTGTCGGAGCTTGTCCCTGCGCACTGCTAGAACGGGGAAACTGCGGTGGCGGCACGTTCGGCTTCGCGGCCGCCGAAGTCATCAGCGGGAACTGGAAGCCACGAAGTCCCGCAGCGTCACTGCCACCGGCGCGGTGGACGGGTGCGCCCGGGTGCGGCATGTCGGGCGTCGAGCGGGAGGTGGGAACGTTCGATCCACTCGGTCCGGCGGTGAGAGAGCCCTCCTTGGGTGGCAACGGCGGAGGGCGCACGAGCGGCCGCGCAAGTGGGGTCGCCTGCTGCGATTCCTCTGAGCCACTACCGATCGTGTTCGCCGCCGATCCGGGCGCAGAGGGGTTGGAGGGGTTCGTCACAATGAACAGGTGCCGCGGTTTCCGCGACTGCCGCACTGTGCCGCCGTCGTCTGTCGACGATATTGTATCTTCCCCGGGCGTCTCAGGTACTGGCGGAGCTTGGAGTGCGAACGGCGACTGGAATGGGTCCGAGTCAGCGGAGTCATCGTGGAATAGGCGTCGCAGCGATTCTGGCGGCGCCTTCGTCGCAGCTGAGGTCAGTCTTACTCAGCTCCAGATAACTCACGAGCCTCATCAGGCTGGTCAGAGAGCATGCTCATCCGTGAGCGAACAGTCTGGGTGGAGTTAGCCCGCGGCGTCGCCCCAACTTACGAAGCTCCAGTCATCGCCGTTAACAGTACCCGAGTCGTCATCGATTTGGGCACCAACACCAGGTGCCAGACTCATCCTCTGCCCACCCTGCTCCTTCCACTGCTGGAACCGCACGATGAGCTCATTCAGCGCAGTCAGCGGTGTCTTGTTCTGCGCCTTGATCCACTTCATCTTGCTGAGCTCCTCGGCCGTCAGACGGTCCGACGGCTCCTCGTTCAGACAGGCGACGACAAAGTCGCGCATCTCCTTGCTCCACGTCCCGCCGTCGAGTCTCGGTGCCCGCAACTTCTTGTCGCTGAGGATCTTGACCGCATGCGCAGCTGGCTGGCCCGACATCGGAGGCTCGCCGTGCGCCATCTCCAGGAGCGTGATACCGAGTGACCAGATATCCGCCTTGACATCATACAGCCTTCCCTGCGTCACGACCTCCGGGGCCATCCAGTACGGCGTTCCGACGAATGTTGAACGTTTCGCCGTGTTCGATGCCAGCAGAGCGGCGACACCGAAGTCACACAGCAAAATCCGGGGTGGCTGCGCCGTGAGAAGGATGTTGGCCGCTGCATGTTAGTTGACGAGCTGGCCGGGACAACATACCTTTGATGTCTCGGTGAATGATGCCATTCTTGTGGAGGAAGGTCAAGGCAACTAACACCTCGCGCATGATCAGAGCAATGTGTAGTTCCTTCAGCGGCTGCGCTCGAGACTGTCTGTCAGCTATACTGGACGCCCCACCAAGTTTACCAATGTTCTGATGCTTCCACCCTCCGCGTACTCCATGATGATCCACACCTTCGGGCCTTCCATGAGACTGCCGTAGTACTTGATGACGTTTGGCATGGCGACTGTCCCACCGTGGTTCGACGCAAAGCTAGACATGAGCTGCTGGAGCAGTGAGACCTCCTTTTGGATGTCGCTAACATCGTCGTCTTCTGTGTCGAGGTTGATAATCTTGAGTGCCACGACATGACCTGTCGCGAGATGACGTCCCTTGTAGACGGCACCGTAGGCACCCTTGCCTACCATCTCCAGTTTCTGCGGGTCAGGCATACGTCTGCGGCTAGATACCCACCTCGTACAGCTTCTCTGGTCGGGCATCTTTAGGCTGTCTGGCGACGGCCTGAAGGTAGGCTGCTTCGACCATGGTGAAGCTTGTGCTCCCCTTGCGGGGGCTGTGAATGAAAGAACGCGAGGACGGGTGCGAGAGAGGGGTTTCCGGTGCGGCAAGAGCTGGAAGGATTGACGAGGTGATGGAGCACTTGGTTCAGATAGGGGTCAAAGGATCGGGCGTCGCTGCGCAAGAGGTAAGACTGGGTGTGTGTGAGGGATGACGGGGAAGAAGGTGTCGATGGCAAGAGCGCAGTCGAGCACGGTGAGCTCGGGTGACATGGAAAGCACACTATGCGGCCCCGGTCTCATCCTCCAGACGGAACACTTCACCTTACTCATCCTTCCCAGTGTCCCATTTACAAGCACCCTCATCCAATTACAATTCATTTGTGTCCGCCCCTAATTCCCCATTAGCACCGGCCTCCAGCGATCATCGCCCGCGGCCCTGAAAGGTAAATAACCCATCACGTGACTTGGCCACCCACCGCACGGTCATCGCCACGACGTCCTACTTTAGGACTCGGCAACGTCACTGGTGTTGGCTTTGTCAACTTCACCCCCCAACTTTCATGTCATTCTTCAATCGAAGCAACCCGAATGCCCCTGCGGCTCGACGCGCCGCCGGTGGTGCCGCCGGAGGTGGCGACTCGTACCAGCGAATTGGCACGCCCGACAGCCAGTCTCACCAGCCGTACCGATCGACTCCACCCCCGGCCCAGTATGGCGGCGATCGCTACAGCGACTACCCTTCGCACCACGAGCAGCAGCGTCCGACGCCGCCGGCGCCGGCACCGCAGAGCCACCGTAAGCCTCCGCCTCGCCAGTACAACGACTACCAGGACTACCCCAGCGAGAAGCAGCCTGAGCCCATCTCGTACCAGCCGCGCCAGGAGCGCGGTCTTCCGCAGACGCCGCAGCACCCGTCTCGAGGCGGTGCCCTCGGCGGTGGTGGAACGTGAGTTCAGTCTCTCCCAGACATAACTAACATTCAGCTTTGGCATTGTGCAGTGCCCGTCGACGCGGGCGGCGCTGACGAACCGCCTGCCTGTGAACCCCGGTGACTTCAACTGCAAGTATGTGATCGTGCGGAGCCAGTATGTGCTCGCGACGCTTCCCGACCCGGCAGTCCAGGCCGGCAACATTGGACCGGCCAAGCACCAGCGAGCGTGGATGTCGCTCTCGGCTGTTGGCGAGTCGGTCGACGTGCAGCCGTACATGCCTCCGCCGAACGCGATGGCGGCGCAGGTCGAGCTCGAGGTCGGTTTCGTTTCTCGGTTCAAGGAGTCGACGGACGTCTTTGATAGCGAGGACATGGAGAAGGCGTTCCTCGCCGCGTTCCCGGAACTCCCCCTCGCTCCGGGCCAGGTGCTGGTGTTCGACTACCGCGGCCACGAGCTCAAGCTCTCTGTGCGCAACACGCAGAACTTTGACGGGCAGGAGAACACGACGGTGGTGACCGAGTCGCAGACCGAGGTCATCTTTGTGAAGAACCCGGCCGCGAACATCAAGCTGAAGTCGTCGTCGAAGCGTGCGCCGACGAATGCGATCCTCGCGCCCAACTTCAAGTTTGAGGACATGGGTATCGGTGGTCTCGACACCGAGTTCACGTCCATTTTCCGTCGTGCGTTCGCCTCGCGTATTTTCCCGCCCGGCCTCGTCGACAAGCTCGGCATCCAGCACGTCAAGGGTATCCTCCTGTACGGCCCGCCAGGAACTGGAAAGACGCTCATGGCGCGCCAGATCGGCAAGATGCTGAACGCCAACGAGCCCAAGGTTGTGAACGGCCCCGAGATCCTGAACAAGTTTGTCGGTCAGTCGGAGGAGAACATCCGCAAGCTGTTCGCGGATGCCGAGAAGGAGCAACGCGAGAAGGGCGACGAGTCCTCTCTCCACATTATCATTTTCGACGAGCTCGACGCCATCTGCAAGCAGCGTGGCAGCACGAACTCTGGCACGGGCGTCGGGGACAGCATCGTGAACCAGCTCCTGTCCAAGATGGACGGTGTCGAGCAGCTGAACAACGTGCTCATCATCGGCATGACGAACCGTATGGACATGATTGACGAGGCGCTCCTGCGCCCAGGTCGTCTGGAAGTGCACATTGAGATCTCGCTGCCAGACGAGGCGGGCCGGTTCCAGATCCTCAACATCCACACGGCCAAGATGCGCGCGAACAAGGTGATGGCGTCGGACGTGGATCTGGCGGAACTCGCGGCGCGGACGAAGAACTTCAGCGGTGCCGAGCTGAACGGACTCGTGAAATCCGCGACCTCGTTCGCGTTCAACCGGCACGTCAAGGTCGGGTCCGTGGCGCAGTTCGAGCACATTGACGAGATGCAGATCACGCGTGCCGACTTCCTGAACGCGCTGGACGAGGTGCAGCCCGCGTTCGGCGTGGCGGAGGAGGAACTCGCCGAGGTGATCCAGAACGGCATCATCCACTACTCGCCGCGCGTGCAGGACGTGCTGGCGCAGGGCAACCTGCTCGTGGAGCAGGTGCGGCACAGCGAGCGCACGCATCTGGTCTCGTGCCTGATCCACGGCGCGCCTGGCGCGGGGAAGTCGGCACTCGCCGCTAGTATCGCGCAGCAGTCCGAGTTTCCCTTTATCAAGCTCGTGTCCGCCGACCAGATGCTGGGCATGTCCGAGGCGCAGAAGGTCGCGCACCTCCACAAGGTCTTCAGCGACGCGTACAAGAGCCCGCTCTCCGTCGTCGTCGTCGACTGCATCGAGCGTCTGCTCGAGTATAACCCCATCGGCCCGCGCTTCAGTAACGGCGTGCTCCAGGCGCTGCTCGTGCTCTTCGGCAAGAGGCCACCAAAGGGCCGCCGGCTCCTCGTCCTTGCGACATCGAGCAATGTGGCCGTGCTGAGGGAGATGCAGGCCATGAGCGTGTTCGACACGGATATCCGCGTCGACTCGATCGCGTCCGTCGAGGAGATTGGCACTTGCTTGACCGAGGTCGAGTTTGGCGATGACGGCGTGCGCCGCAAGACGCTCAGTGCGCTCCGCGACGCAGGGCTCGATAAGGAGGAGTGGAGCGTCGGCGTCAAGAAACTCCTCACGCTCGCCGAGATGGCGAGGCAGGACGAGGATCCTGGGTTCCAGCTCGCGAGCGCGCTCATCAAGGAGGTCAAGACGACGCCGTACTGGAAGTGAAAGCCCAGACTCGCACGCAGTGCGAGTCGCAGCGACCCCTCATCGTTAAGACTGAGTGGCAGGCGCGTCCATAGAAAATCAACGCAACCATCCAATCTAGAAGTAGAGTTCCGAAGTCTAGTTTCGTATAGAAATGCAGCAGTTTTATCGTCTTGTGCACATAAGATTTGGAATTATCATCATGACAACCGGGCAAGCAAGTACGGATAGCTAGGTGGGGTATATATCTCTGGGATTTGTGTGGAAACGTATATGCGTGAAAGAAAATCGGAACATGCTGAGAATGGTTCAAGTGGGGGGGGGGGAAAGCAAACTATGCGTGCTGCGGGGGACTCGCAGGCCCAGCGGGCAGAGAACTAACAGCGCTCACAGCGCCCTGTTCCTTCCTCTCCGACCCGCCTCCTGGCACGAGCAAGGGCGTGCTAAAGGGCGGACTCGGAGATACTGCTCCCCGAGCTGGGGTTCAGGCTCGGATTGAGACTGTTGAGGCTGAGGGGGGAGCCGAGCCCGCCCACCGCCCCAGTCCCAGTGCCCGCGAGACCGAGTGCGCCGCCGCCCAAGCTGCCCCCGAGAACACCATGGCTTGGTCCGCTGAGAGCGGACACGGGTCCCGAGGGGATCTGGAGCTGGCCCGAGGCGTCGCGTGCCGGCGTGCTCAGCGACGCATTGGACCCAGTGGCGATACTGCCCGCGCGCGAGTCACCGTTGGCTGCTGCGCTGCTTGCGCCGCTCAGCCCACTGAGCCCACTCGCTCCTGCGCTGACAGCACTCACGGCACTAGCGGCAGTACGGGGCGCAGGGGGATTAGAGCTCGACCGACTGGGCGGGAAACTGGCACTGCTTGGTCGGGAGGGACGCTGGGAGGTCGGGCGCGAGTGCATCGGGCTCTCAAAGTCGGTCCTGGACCCACGGGAGTCGGGGGACAATGGGGGCTCGTCTTCCTCGAGGATCGGAGACTCGCGCACCTCGGCGTGCGAGAGGGATGACTCGGAACCCTGTCCGCCCGGCTGGAGCACGAGCGTGCTCAGGAAGACATCGTTCAGCGGCGTCGTCGCGTTCAGCGTGAATTCCCTGTCGCGACTGGGAGTCGTCAGATGGTTCGACCTGCCGCCTGCGATCGGCATGGGGGACGCGGAGGAGGTCGTCGACGTGTCCGCCGCGACACTATCGGCGGCGGCGTTGACGGCCGCGGCCATGTCGTCGTCCTCTGGCTCGGCACCTAGCGTCGAGCGCAGATCGATGAGGTCCGCACCGGCAGGGGCGGCACTGGGAGCGCCGGGAGCACCTGCGGCCCCGACAGCGGTCGTTTGCCGCGCAAGAGGGGGCTGCTCGCCGTCGCGCCCGTCCTCGCTTGGTTGGCTCGAGGAGGCAGCCAGCAGCTCGTCGATGCTGGCATTGTTCTCCCCGAACCCGACACTCGTGCTCGGGTCTCCCGGTGCTTCGCGGGGCGCGGCGTTCGGCGAGTCGCCCGCTGGCGGGAGACGGATCGAGTGGTTCGAGTTGCGCCGAGAGATGATTGACGCGCGGCGAGAGGCAATCTCCCACGCGTCCTCCGTCTCGACGTCCTCCTCGAGGTTGGCAAAGGTACGCTGATGTCAGCTTACTCGTCAAAGAACCGCACAGCTCTACTCACACAAAGCGGACAGGAGAAGCCAGGATGGTGCTGCACCAGTAAAGGCCGGATACACTTGTAGTGGAACACATGGGAGCACGGACTGGGTCAAGTTAGCCATTTTTCAGCAAGAGAACTTACGCAATGAACAGCGACTGGCACACGGTGACGGAGAAGAGACAGATACAACAGTCCGTGACGCTCGCCTTGCCCTTGCGCGCCGTCGAGGGCGAGATCTGCGATCCCTTGCCCTCCTCGCCTCCTCCAAGAGCCTTCAACTGCTTCATCGCGTTCGCACTGATGTCAGCTTTTCCCCGCGGACTCCTAGCTCACTTAAACTCATTGTTTCCACGCTGTTGCCAGTCGCGTCCAATCTCGACACGCATCTTAACGCAGCGGTACATCTCCTCCGTGCCGCCCTGGTAGTCGACACCGAGCTGTAGGACATCGCCGTCCTTGAGCAGCTGTGGGCGGCTCTGCACATTGGGGCTCGACAGGCGGATGTGGTTCAAGAAGGTGCCCGACGAGCTCGCGGTGTCACGAATGTAGAACTGTGTGTGTCAGCCAGATGCAGCAAATGAAGCATCTTGCAGATCTCGAAGGATCTACGCCCCCCGTCATCGACACGCAGCCCGCAGCCAAGCCGCACTTGGCCACTAGTACTCACCTTTCCTCCCGGCTCACACCAGATCTCGGCGTGCGCGCGGCTCACAACCTTGCTCTTGAATGCGGCTCGTGCCGAGACAATGTCCCCACCACCTCCACCGGGCACAGACGCGGGTTGCGGCTGGGGCGAGGTCCCATTCGCTGCCCCGTTCGCGGCGGCACCTCCACCTGCGGCAGCGTCTCCCGCGGCGCCAACGACTCCAGGGGACCCTCCAGTGACGGCTCCGTTGGCGCCGTTAGCACCCGTATTAGAGCGCTCCGTGAAACGGCCAATCTTCAGGATTAAAGGAGGAGGACGACCATTGACGAGCGGGCCGGTGTCCGAAACAGAAGCAGCGGCGATGCTGGGCAGGATGCCCGGGGGAACGTGCATGACTCCCATCTTGCGCAGGACGGGGGCGAACGTGAAGGACCGATTAGTTTCGAGGACAGGCACGAGACGGATTCGGTGCGTTCGCCGGAGGGACGGGTCGACAGGGGGGATCACGACCGGGTCCTGGCCGTTTGAGGTCGAGGGCCCGTTGCCCGCCTGAGGCGATGAAACGCTGCGCGACACCTCGCCGCCGTCAACGCTGAGCGGGTTCGGGTGCTCGACAGTCGGTGAGCCGACTCTATGGCCACGGACTGCACCTGCGACGGCATTCGTGACGCTCTGGGCACGGGACCTCGTCCGCATAAAGCTGCCCAGGAAGGACGACCGGGGCGATGTCGGGGTCACACCCGGAAGTGCCGAGGGTCTTGTCGGCGGCGACGCGGCGCCATGGCCGTGTGCATGAGGCGACGAGGTCCTGCCTGCTGGGCGCGCCATGGCGAACCAGTGGTCTGCCCAACGATGCTGGGGTTCGTGTTCGGGGTAGGAGCTGGAGAGGGAACGAGCGTGGATGATATGCGACGGAGGCGGCGACGGGGCTTGATGGGCGATGAGCGATGTCAGCATTATGAGCAGCGGCAAGCGTCCAGAGGAGTGGCCATGTTATGGTTTGGGTGTTATGCGTGATTATGTGGTAAAGGAGTGACAATGGGGAGGAAGAGGTCTGGAGAAGCAGCACAGCGGCTGGAGCATTTCGAGAACCACCACTCTCTGTGCAGCAGCCGCGAGCAGCCGTGCAGAGCGCGAGCAGACGTGCAGACAAGGGACGAGGAGGCGTCCGGGGAAACAAGGACGGAGACTCGTGAGAGGGATCAGGCGGCATGCCAAGGAGGGATGAGTTGCGGTGGCCACTGTGTTGCACCCAAGCACCCAAGCAGGCAAGACGTAGGGGACCAGGGAAGCGCAAACCCGGGCAACCCGGGTACGGGTCCCAGCACAGGCCACCGGATGGGCTGGAGGAGTGGTCTGACATTGAATGCGGCGGCGAGAGGCAAGCAAGGGAGGAGTGGGCGGCGGTGGTTGAAGAGAGCGTTACTCACTAGGTGTGTGTGTGATGGAAGAGTCAGAAGTGTGCTGGGGTTGGAAGAAGGGGAGTGCGGTGGTGTGTGTGAAGAGGAGAGGGAGTGTGTGTTGAGTCCCGGGGGAAAGTGTTGTAGGATGGATGTCGGACCAGGACACAAGACACAGGAGAGTAAGGATGGCGAGGAGGACGAGTTAGGGAGTGGATTCAGGATCGGACCAGAAGCTGCACTCACTACCCCGCGATCAACGATAAGTGAGCAGCAGTGTGGGAGGAGGGCCAGGAGGGAGAGCCCAGCCGGAAACGGTAAGCGGCACCACCCACCCAGGCCACCCAGCAAAGGCAGGAGACCCGAGCATTAACACGGAGGCTGGAGGCGGCAGCGGCAGCGGCTGGGGCCGGACAGGGCTAGCCCTGCCTGTAGGGCTGGCTAGGGCGTACCTCAACCCCACCCAGCGACCCTTATCCCTCCACCCAGTCTTATGCCTACTTGCATCATCCGCCGTCCTTAACCATCCTATTGTCGGGTCTTGTATTCAATACTCTCTCTCTCGATTCTACCGCGCCCCCGATCTTGCCCAATATACTCTTGTAACGCCGCATGCCTTACTCACGCTACCATATCCTCACGCCGCCATCACGCAGCCTCCAAGTCCTCCCCTCGCCACTGATCCACACCTTTTTCTCAATGTCTCGGCTTTGCCTAGCCCACCTCTAGCCTCTGCCAACGACAGCGCGTGCTCGGCGCCTCCCACGCCCAGATACGCCTCAGAGCGCCAATGTCTTTCGGCGACAGAACATCCCTTCTTCTCCTTCGGACCATGATCAACTGAACTGACTTGGGTTTGGGAGAGAACGCCTAGCTGCGAGCGAGGAAGAGCAAGAGGCTGCGCGCATCGTGCCTGGAGCTGATCCTATGATCCCTTTTCTTAATGTGCCTGAAACTTTGGCTCTTTGAACACTACGCCAGCGTCGCCAGTGCTGCAGCGTGCGCAGAGGAGTAGTGGGCGGCTAGTCTGTCTCGGGGTCTCGAAATTGGGCGAAAGCTTACCTCCTCCTTGCACACGTTCATGCTCAGACAAGCTCAAGGTCGACACTTAAGCACACGTCGGTCATGCTCCGGTCATTCGTGTGCACAAAGGTACATCTGTGGAGCAAGAAAAGTGCCAGCGACTGCTCTCCTTGACATTTCAGGTGGATGGTGGATGGAGAATCTGTGGCTCAACCAGGCTCAAGCAGGATCCCAGGAGGCGCCCGGCGCTAGGGACCGGGGGCCCGGTTTCGCCGCTCGCGCCGGTATCTGCCATCCGGCGTTGCCGGGAGGTTGAAGTGTCGCCGACCGGGCCGAGAGCCCGGGGCTGGTGGGTCAGCGGACAGATGACCAAGGTAGATGACTGGAGTGACCGTTGCGTTGTCTGTCACTCATAACAACTGGAAGTAACATTAGCTAACGCCCAAGCCCCAGGTATGCTGGAAGGGGCGATCGGGCATCTAACGCGATGTTGCAGACTGATCACGTTTTGAGTGGCGAATGGTCCTCATCGGTCGCTCACTGACACACTCGTGTGTGTACTGATGGAAGGAGGTGGTTGGGTTGTACTTTACTTGGAAGCGTCTCGCACAACAAGAGTCTCCAGATTCTAGACCCTCCAGATCCCAGCAGCGTCTCATCTCACTCTATCGGGATGGCGCCCTCCCATCGCAACAGCTGCCGAGCACGGTAGCAACACACAACACACAACACACATCACAGCCGTCGCATCATCCTCGCCCTCTTCGCTCTTTGGCATACCGCAACGCCCTCCCCACAGTCCCGACGAACACAACGAACACGATGACAACAACACTAGGTAGCCATTTGGCTCCTCACCATCGTCGCATTCGGAGACCAAGAAGATGGGGGTGAGTCCAAATCACCAGACAACGACTAAATTTATCTCGGCTAGTCATTCGGTTCGATCACTGCAGTGTCACAGGAGGCAAATGCCATAGTCGGCCCAAGAGCCTGCTCCCAAGGGCCTGCTGACATCTAGTCCCGCCTCAGTTCTCTCCGCGACAAAGACAGGGAGACGAAGCGTAGACCCTCCATGACGGGCCACCTGATGCCGCCCCGCTTCGCGCGCAGGACGTCGCGCGACTCGGCCCGTTCAGCCCTGTCGACAGCATCACAGGAGACGTTCGCGACGGCACTTGCCTCGCCGCCGACGTCTACTCCCTTCGTGTCTCCCGCGCTCTCGACTCCGTTCGCGACGCCGTTCACGCCCTCCCTCTCGCCTCTCCCGACGGCCGGGTACTTCGACCCCGATCCCCAGCCCCAGCCCCAGTCCCAGTCGGAATGGGTCGAGTTTAATCCAGAGGACCTTAAAGTTGGTAGCCCAGCTGGGTTCGAGTACACCTGGCTCCTCCACTCTGAGACAAGCTCTGCTTACGATACCGAGGACGAGGTGGGGTTTCGGTGTGGATCGAGCCTCAGTCTGGACTTTATCGAGCGGCCCTGTGTGTCTAGCGGGGTGAAGTGCGACGGGGCCGAGTGTCCGAGCTGTCGGTCTTCTCTGTAGCCCAATCCTCCATTCTGTACGAACTCGAGCCCATCAGACAGATGAGATCTTTAAGTAGAGGGAAAGAAGTGTACATGCAAATCAGCTACCTACTGCCTCCTGCCTAACCCGCGAGATGAACTGAGAGCGAACGCAAGCCTTACTCGGGCTGCGGCCTGCTCGTGTCCGGCTTGCTGGGCCATCCCCCCTGCTCCTTGACGTATTCCTCGGCCTTGCGTTCCGTGTCCTGCACAATGCGCCTCATGAACTCGAGATCGGCCCCTTCGCCATCCCGCGTCGCATCGGCCGAGAGGGGGAGGAATTGGCGCTGGAAAGTACTCTGGAAGCGCGGCACGAGCGCCTCGGACACGTCCTGGACGGAGGGCAGATGCGGGGGAGGTGTGGGGAGACGCTGGAGGAGTTGGTGCAGGGAGACGGCACGCACGTCGTCCAGTCCACACGCGACTACCAGGTCGAACCACGACACGGGCTCGGGCGTAATGTTCATCGCGAAGCCGTGCGAGGTTATCCGGTGCGAGAGGTGGATCCCGATGGATGCGAGCTGGCATTAGCCTCTGTTTGCCTACATCGCATCCTGTCCAGGCGGACTGTCTGCAGAGCCGACACTGTCCTCGCCGCTCGCCGCTATCGCGGCTCGAGCTTGGACTTACCTTCTCATTCCTTCCATTGAACACACCCACATGCCCATCCTCATGCGGCGCATCGACGCTCAGCCCAAAGTCACGCACATACTCGGCCAGCAGCGCCTGGAGGTATTCGACATAGCACCGTGTGGGCGTGTTCATCTCATTCAGGTCTAGGATCGGGTATCCCACAATCTGCCCCGGACCGTGGTACGTCACCTGGCCCCCGCGCTTGGTGATGTGGAAGGACGCGCCGACGTTGACCACCTTCTTCTCCTCGGGGTGGAGCTCGTCGGGATTAGGCGTGTTGTCCCGCCGGCCCGTGGTGTAGGTTGGCGTGTGCTCTGAGCGTTAGCATGGGCGAGCGAGCGGGGGCGCCGTGGGCGCCGTGGAATGCCTGCCCCCTGTCCGAGCTTTTGCCGTGCGACCCCTAGTTGTGACGAGCGACCAGACAGCCTTCAGCAGTCCCGCTAACTTGCTCTGAGCCTCCGGCTCCTCCGGCTCCTCCGGCTCCTCGGCCTCGGGGCTTACTCACCAAGCAAAAACAAAATGTCCGTCTTGCCCCCCTCCCCCTCGCGCCTCCGCCTCAGGCGCTCCTGTACGACGCCATTCTGCAACTCCAGGCCGAGCGGGTACGCGAGCGGCGTCTTGAAGATGTGGTACCGGACTGGGGCGAGGCCGGCCTCAGCGCCAAACGTGGGTACGCCGCAGGCCTGCGCGTACGCTCGGCAATGCCGGGGGAGCTGGCCGTTAGCTCATCACCTTGCCTTGCCTGCTGTTGCCTGCTGCCGAAACGCCTCCGCCCGTCGTGCGTAGTGCACGCATGGCTGTGCTGGTTCAAAGAGGGCAAAGAGGGCAAAGAGGGGAAGTGGGAAGGACGGGAGAACTCACCTGAGTAGCAAGTCTTGAACGCAGGCTGAGCATGCTGAATGATTGTTGATTGTTGAGACGAGTTGAGCCCAAGAAGTGAGCATAATGACGCAGTTTATGATCCTTCCACAGAGCGAAATTCCGGAGCGCCGGACGAGACCGATCGATGCCCGCTGCACTTGCCGCTGTTTCCCCACAAATCACGGCCCGACCAAGTGCCGACCGGACCTCAATGTGCGGCTCTTACCTTGAAGCTGCTTTTCCAACATCTTCTTGCATGCCACAAGGTCCATTCTTGCCCACTACCGATCTTATCTTAGCGGCATTGTCTGCTGGATCGGGCCCAAGTCATGTCGATATTGGAAATGCAATGTCGCCCTCCATTCATCTCTCCGGTCAGCGGAGTGTCTGCGCGTGTCAATCAGGTGACACCAACCCCGCTCGACCTTCGCAACCAGACGCAGCGGCACAACAGAAATGACATTCAATTATACTCGGGATTTCGGGCCAAAAAATTGTACATATGATGCATCTAGGTCTTTGTCTAAGCCTTACCGGCGGCCTTCATCTGCTGGAGCATGACCGGGCCGATCTGGCCGGGCGACTCGACAACCTGGGCGCCGGCGGCGCGGAGCGCGGCGACCTTGTCCGAGGCGGCGCCCTTTCCTCCCGAGATGATGGCTCCGGCGTGTCCCATGCGGCGTCCGGGGGGAGCGGTACGTCCGGCGATGAAAGCGGTAACGGGCTTGGCGTTCGGGCCCTTGTTGTGCTCGGCGAGGTAGGCGGCAGCCTCCTCCTCCATCGATCCACCAATCTCTCCAATCAGAACAATACCCTCAGTCTTGGGGTCCTCGAGGAGGACCTTGATGACGTCGATGTGCTGGGTGCCGGGGAAGGGGTCACCACCGATACCGACGGTGAGCGACTGTCCGAGACCGGCGAGGGTGGTCTGGCTGGGATTGTCAGCTTGTGTTCGCCGTATTAGCAGCTGCTTGGTGTCCGACTGCGCACCACCGACGCAGACACAAGGCCGTGCACATTCGGCGCAGAAGAAGGGCTGTCACCGCGATCGGGGAACGCCTCGTCTGCGCTCACATGTCCGTGGCGCACACCGAAGCATGCCCCACAGTTACTCACTTGACAGCCTCGTAGGTGAGGGTTCCTGAACGCGAGACAATACCAATGTTGCCCTCAGAGAAGACCTGACCGGGCATGATGCCGAGCTTGCAGGTCTCGGCGAGGACTCCGGGGCAGTTGCCTCCAATCATACGCGACTTGCTCTGCGAGCGAAGGGCGTTGTAGACCTTGAGCTGGTCACGCTGGGGAATGCCCTCAGTGATGGTGACAATGAGGGGGATCTCATTCTCGATAGCCTCAAGGATGGCGTCGGCGGCGCCCGCAGGAGGAACGTAGATAACGGTGGCGAAGGGGTTCTCGGCGTCAACGGCCTCCTTGACGGAGCCGAAGACGGGGAGACCGAGGTGGGTCTGGCCGGCCTTCTGTAAGGAACGTCAGCAACCGCGCACACAAAATTTAGGCGAGCAACCGAGAGGGTCGCGGTGTGGGAACGCGGCGAGGTAGTCACAGCGACAAGCCAACTGAGATCCTCAGGACTGCAGATGGCATGCGAGATGCACAGACAGACATGTGACGACACACTCCTGATGCTGGACGTCGATGACGATGCAAGCGATAGTCGATACTGCCGGCGGCAGACATGAACGCCGAGCGAGCCCCGCATCCCATCTCTCTTATCTACTCACCTTGGGGTTCACACCGCCAATGATACGGGTGCCAAAGTCGATGGACTGCTGGGAGTGGAAGGTACCCTGTGTTGTTAGTGAGTGATCGCCCAAGCCAGAAGGCCAGAGTCGGGGAAACATAACTCACCGTCTTGCCGGTGAAGCCCTGGACGAGAACCTTGGTGTCCTTGTCTGTGTCGAGGTCAGTATGCGGCTACGAATGCGGGGTCTGTGCGGGGGTGTAGGGCAGGCCGTGGTCGCGATGAGATCATGGTTGCTCGACGGCTGTAGACGTTCCGTGGTTACTCACTGACACAGATGTTCTTGATCGTGTCAGCGTAAGAGTTGACACGTGCCGAGCTAGAGAACTGGCGCGAAGCTGTGGGGGACGTCAGCGGCGTTGTGCGCGTTGGTGGTGTCGAGTGGACGTACAGCGAGAGAGACGAGCAGCAGCGGTGCGGAGCATGATGGTCGTGGATGGGGGTGGGTGGATGGATGGATGGAAGATGGGATGGCCTATGTCGTCGCCGCCAGCTTTGATGCGTGAAGGTCTTCCGTCTTCCTTGTTTCGTACCTCTC